CCCCGCTCCGGGGCTGTTTCGAGTGCTGAAGCCCGGCCCGGCGCCGCAAGGAGCGTCACCCCTGGCTGCGGCTCAAAAAAAAAACCGCACGAATAAATACATAGAATAAGCGCAAAGCCACACGCTGGAGCCAGAGCAAAGGGCGCAGCGGTGTCGGGGAGGAGCTGCCGGGCCCCACGGGCGGGTGGGCGGCTGTCTCGCTCCTGCTCCCGGGGCTTTTCCTGCAGGAGCTGCTGGGAATGTCTCCCCTAGGCGCCGGCACTGGCAAGAAGGGGCGAGCAAGGCAGGTCCCGGGGGCGTCTGGCTGCCCCACAGTGATGCCTGATGCACTCCGACGGTGTCTGGGCATCGCCTGCCTCTGCTTACAGAACTTGGGGTTTCTCCCTGCCTCCCTTTTGTTGCTCTTGCCCGCCTTGCCTGCGAGAAATAATAAAAATAAACGTGTTAACATTTGGAGGAAGGGAATTAAATATAAAGAGGGAGTGGGAAGTGACTTAGCAATCGATAAAAAGCCAAACATGGCAGGTGCAGGTGGCCGAGGTGTCTGCTTGGGAGCAGGTTTTGCCCTGCAGGCAGGTCTCTGTCCCCTCTCCCATGCAGCCCGGTGAAGGGCTCAGCAGCCGCGCTCTTCAGCCTCGCTGCTGCTGGCAAATGGGGAGTTGAAGGGGAAGTGGCGCGAGGGAGGTGTCAGCTCCTTCATCAGAAGATATCTGCTGATCCACACCTTCCAGAAAAGGTATAAGGATGCCGGGGAAGGCAGGGGGAGAGGAGAGCCTTGAAGCTGCACTGAAATGCTTTAGTTGCAGAGACCTCTTCAGAGGAACAGGGTGAACTGTGGTGCACGTATTGTTTTTAAATGGAGAGTTGACGAAGGGCAGTTAGGTGTCCATGCCTGCGGTACTGCGCCGCATTTTGGAGCACTAACACCTGGGATCAGCTGCTCTGCATTGTGAATAATGTGAGCACTGGCACTGGCTTGAGTTGGATTTTCCTGGCCATTCAGCAGCAAAAGAAACCAGGTGGCAGCGAAAAATGCAGTTTGAAATTTTCTAAAAGCCTCTAAAAAACCGTTGCAATTCTCCCTCACCCCACAGTAGTAAAGCAGGGGTTGTGGCATCAACAGCTGCGCCTGCCAGTCCTTGGTGTGAGCTCAGTCCACTTTATGTGTTTCTTAGCCATATTAGAAAGAACTAGAACCAGTATCAGTGGCATTAACAAGACCCTGTAGTTATACTGGCTCTGATATTTCCATAAATAAAATGAAATAAAGTGCAGGATGAACAGCATCTGTTCAGGGCCCTTTTTTTTAACATCAGTCCTATAATAATAAAATAGACTACTAAAATATTTGAAAGTTTTGGAAGGGTAGTAGTAGTTTATGTATAGATTATACCATAAAAATGTAATCTAGTGTAAGCATATGCATTAAGATTTAAGTTCAGCACCTCAGGATATTATGATTCCTCAGTAGCTCCAGTATTACAGCAGCAGTTTATTTGCCTGATGTCGACCTATGATTCAAGTGACAGATTAATCATAAGCACACACGATCGATCAGTTTTACGTGTTGACGTTTTATCGATTGCGATGCCTTATTGCTTTGTTTCGATTCCTTGCAGATTAGGAACAAAAGCAGCAGAGGAGGATCTCAGCCCCTGGATTTCTGCTCTGGCCCTTCTGCAAGCAGACAGAAGAGGAGCTGTCAGGCTTTGCATGTCAAGTAGCCACTCAGCTGTTTGACAGCTTCTGGGTTTCAACCCCATTGGGATCGAGGCCGCTCAGGAAACCTTGAGCGATGAGTCCTGTCATCTGCTGATGCTGCTCTAGCACCATGGCAGGCTGTCCATGAGCTGACAGGGGGATCTGTCCGTGCCAGGAAGGCTGCACTGGGATTGGCACTTGGCTTCCTACCGAACTATGGCTGGGATGTGAAGCCCGCACGGCCACGCGCACTTGGATATTGCTACAGTCTTGCTCCCTTGTGGATCTTCCCTTCTGAGAGCTCCGTGTCCCCCCACTGTCGCCTGCACAGGTGATGCGGACTCTCGCCCCTGTGGCCACCAACTCGTGGGCCACACAGTGAAGCCATCCACCGGCGCCTTCGTGTGGCAGGTGGCAGGGCCTGGGCAGTGCAGAGCAGCAGAGCGAGTGCGGGCAGTGCCCTGCAAGATTTTACGCTGTCAGCCCCCGGGGCCCCTGCCCCCCCCCCTGCCGGCCCTCGCCCTGCTGCTGGGCTGCTGGGCCGAGCTGGGCAGCGGGCTCGAGTTCCCGGGGGCCGAGGGCCAGTGGACCCGCTTCCCCAAGTGGAACGCGTGCTGCGAGAGCGAGATGAGCTTCAACATGAAGACGCGCAGCTCCAGTGGGCTGGTGCTCTACTTCGATGATGAGGGCTTCTGCGACTTCCTTGAGCTCATCCTCACGCAGGGTGGGCGGCTGCAGCTCAGCTTCTCCATCTTCTGCGCCGAGCCAGCCACGCTGCTCTCTGACACGCTGGTCAACGACAACCGCTGGCACACTGTGGTCATCCGCCGCCACTTCAAGAACACGACTCTGGTCATCGACCGTGCCGAGGCCAAGTGGGTGGAGGTGAAATCCAAGCGGCGGGACATGACAGTATTCAGCGGGCTCTTCCTGGGCGGGCTCCCGCTGGAGCTGCGGTCAGCCACCCTCAAGCTGACGCTGAGCTCCGTGAAGGACCGTGAGCCCTTCAAGGGCTGGATAACTGACGTCAGGGTCAACTACACGCAGGTGTCGCCTGTGGAGAGCCAGGAGGTGCGGCTGGATGACGAGCAGAGCCGCCTGTGCGCTGGTGACGATGTCTGCCTCAATGGGGGTGTCTGCTCAGTGCTCAACGACGAAGCCGTCTGCGACTGTTCCCAGACGGGCTTCCGCGGCAAGGACTGCAGCGAAGGTAAGGCGCCCGCTCTGCCTCCACAGCCGAGTCGCGTCCTCCAGCGCAGAGCTGCCTCTCCTGGGGCCCTGTGCCCTCCGCCACCAGGGAGGAGGAGGAGAAAAGCGATGCTGAGGGCAACCTTGGCAGGTGGAGATGCTGTGTGCTGGCTGTTGCAGGGTTGGGGAGACCCCGAGCCCAGCCAGTGTGTTGACGTGCGGAGCGGAAACCGGTGATTCATTTGTGAGTCGCCTGGGAGGGGAAGATGAGGAGGGGGGTAAGGCAGAAGATGAGGGTTTTAGCCAAATGGGGCCGCCGCCGCGTCCAGTGGTTCCCAGAGCCCGTCGTGCAGACAGGCTGAGTCCCAGAGGGCCAGGGGAGGCATGGGCTCCAGGAGCGTCCAGTGGTCCCAAGCAGTCGCCCCAAGCAAAGGGGAGTTTGGTAAAACCCTGCTCTCCTTGTGGGAATCCTGCCCACAAGTAAATCACGGTGGAAAATGTGGTCCACGTGCAGCCCCCCGCGCTCATCGCGTTTCGCTGGGAAATGTGCCACTGCTGAGGCTGCTTGAGTGTAGGGGAGCACCCATGTTGCGTGCCTGGCATGGGCTTCAGAGGTGTTGGACTGCAGGAAGGCAAAATGCATCCAGGGAATTACAATCTCCACATCCCAAAGCTGAGAGCAAAGACCTAAGTATAAAATGCCAATGTGTAAATATAAAAAAAAAAAAAGGTGATATGTGGGCCAAGTGGATGTCCTCACTGAGTGGCTGCATGCTGTTTACGGCTGAATAATTTGCCTTTCTCATTTCTATCAAATTTTGCTCGCAATGAGAAAGAAAACATCATTTGTGACTGTGCCTTATTATGTAACACCTGCTGTCCTTAGTTTCAATACTCCAACACTGCCGTCATTGTGCATCCTGTTTACTTTTTCAGCTGTTTATCTTACATCTGCCATTTGTTCCAAAAATACCAAGCCTTTTTACTTTTTTAAATGTTTTCAATAAAGAGAGCGCAAAAGTAGCTTTGGAAAATGATTAACTTACCCCTTCACTAGCACATGTATTTCTATAATGTATATAGGCACACATATAAATATAATCTAATTTGGGACTTATAAGAAGGTGACATTCAAAATAATATTTAGAATCGCCCAAATTAAAGTAAAATCTGGGCTTCACTCAAACACTATCAGTTTTACAATTGACGTCAGTGGGATCAAGATTAGATCCACAAGTGTCTTTTGTCCACAAAGAAGCCTTATAAAATAATAGCAAGACGTATAATTTTAGCAAAGCTTCTCTACAAAGAATCATAAAATATTCAGATTCTAATATCATTAGGAAGAGAAGGCAACATTGCCACTGATTGCAATATGAATGGAGTGAAGCCACAGTTCTAATAGGTTGAGGGAGAAAAGGTGAAAGATCAGTCAGGTTTTGATGAAGAGATTAGTAGCTACTCATATGTGCTATGAAGATATTGAACTAGTTTGAAAAATAATATTTCAATCTTCTAAGAAATAGAAAAGACAAAAGGACAAGTAAAACTATTATGTCAGCCAAGAAGTAAACCTTGGCTTTGTAGTAAACCGTAAACCTAACATTCTGCTGTTAGATTTTGATCTTCTGTTTCAAGAAGTACATTTCCCAATAATTTCAGAGGGAGTTTGCCATTCCTGAAAAATGGAAGATAAGGGTCTTGGAGAGCAATGAATGAGATGAGGAGGTCTGTGATGTTTTGAGTCTTCATCTTGTTTTGTTTTTTGACCAGAAATGGTTGACTAGAAATTTTAATGTCAAATTATATCCCAGTGATACTTTTTTCCCACCTTTTAGGCAAAAAATAATCATTGTATTTCCTTGGAGGTTTTGCTTTTTGCTATTGTTAGGATTTAGTCCTTTTTGAACCTTCTGCATCTCTACAGTTTGACAGAGCACATAATTGCATAATATAATGAGGCTATTAGAGGGTAATAATAATAATAAAATTTCTAAAATTTTCTATCCTGCCATGCACATTTAAGAGATTATAAATAGAATATAAATAGTCATGGTTTTAAGCTTTAAGATGAGATTTTTTACATCATTTATTTTATTTTCTGGAAGGGTCTATTTTTTTGAATTTCCGCCTTTGAAAATCTACTTTTTTCCAGAGGAAAAGCTTTAAAAAATTTAACCTACTGCAACCTTGAAAACCCCATAACAATATAAGTTGTTCCCAGTAGGCTTAAATCTCCCTCTACTTGTCTAAATCAGGAGTGGCTTTATTTATGTTATCATCTGGATTACATTAGTGCATAAACAAGTTAAGTTATCTAAAAATCAGCATCGGATTTATGACATTCAGTCATGCTGTTGGTTTGAGTAGGATCTACACTCTCTTCAGGGTGATCTTTGGCATGAATTACAGAAAAAGGGCAGGAGTTTTACAGCTTATAGTACAGAAAATCATGATCTCTGCAGTTCTGTTTTCTATTAGTCCATAGGCTTGTGAATAAAGATGGTACAAGACAGTGAAAGTACAAGGCAGTCTTCTAAAAAAGAAATAAAGTATGATTTGCTTTAAAATATGCCCTGATTACCATATCAATTTTCTGATAAAGTTTTTACACTCATCACAATCTTAACACTCAATGAAAATGATATTATTCGTGGAAAATGATATTATTCGTGGAAATGATATTATTCGTGGAAATGAGTGAAATGAGTATGGTTTGATTTTACAACAAAGTGAACTGTTCATTAAAAAGACTGATCTTTACAATCTATGCAATTCGTATTTACGGAATATACATGAAATAAAAAAACACACTTTCATTTGGGAACTTTCTCACGGACCCCAGCTTCTTGTCACTTCACGCCCTTATGCTTTTCTGTATCTGTAACTATTAGAAAAAATTACTCACAGGCAGTTTTATCCTTCTAAAATATCGATGGCCTTCATGACTCAGTATTATCTTTTTGCAGCGACTACTGTAGGCAATTATTCTGCGAATTGAAAGTGTTCCTGTTTTGAACATGTCTAACTGTCCTACTGAGTTTCTGTTTTGTGGAAAAAATGAGGACTGCTCATGCAGCTGTTCCCTGTAAGAGATATTTTTCCTTGTCAGATGCTCAGTAGTTGTTTCCAGCTATGGTCTGAGCTGTGAAAATGAATTTTTAAGGAAGCAAATTCCAGATGGCTCAAGCTAGCCAGCATTTGATTTGTTTGTTTGGGTTCTGAGTATATTGCATAAATCTTTGTTGTGCACATTTTCTTCTTCATGCTAACTTTTTAAAAAGGCATCCAATATTTGACTCTTTTTTGGATTTTTTTTCATGTTTTAATTCTTTCAATTCTTTCATGCCTTGGAGAAAACATACAAACATATTTTGACATGAATTATCTTCTGTGAGATATATGTTTGACTTCAAAGCAATGCGAATGAAGTCAGTACACATAAGAAGTTGTGCAAGAGCAACCACCCTTGTCGTTATCTTTCTTGAATAGTTAGATAAATGTGCTGTGGGATAACAAATACTGTGAGCAAAACTTCCCTTCTGATTTACACTTCAGATTCTTTGTCTACAATATGCCTCTCTACTACGTGATTTGTATTTGTTCTGCACACTGAATTCCTTATCACTGCCAATGACCACCGGGGTGATGCTGATTTAGGAGAAGGGATGGGAATCCACTAGAGATTATGCCAAGGTTCTGTAGTATTTAGGGAATGGTTCAATTTCGTCTAAGTAAAAAATCTTTAATATTATTTAATATTTTTTAAATAGTGGATTTTTTTGGCAGAGTAGAACTTTTATGGCAGATAGTCAAATAATCCCTGAGTCTTTCAAAATGTTTTAAATCGGCGTTCCTTAATTTCAGTTGTATGTAAATAGAAACCTCACGTCAGTTTAGAGAAGAATTTTGCATCATTTTCCTAATGCAATTTGATATATTATTTTGTTTGCCAGGATTTTGCATTATAAGGTATTGATTTCAATATCTGCCTCATGTGAAATCACAGCAATTTAAATATTGTGTCACTGCTAATTAGGAACTGTCAGTCTGTTTTATTTTCCAAGAAGGCTACTTGTTGAACACTGCTAATCCTTTCAAAATGGTCATATTGAAACACTTCCAGAAGAGCACTTAGGCATACAGCATTCATCTTAGCACCTCAGATCAATAGTCTTTTATATAGTGAGTTTGTTGCTTCCCCCTGCTAAGATGGAGGGCTCATGCCAAATTTGAGTTTATACTGAAAATTATAGGGGACTAATATGCTGGATTTTACTTTTGACAGCTTGTGTCAGATTGGTCACACAGTAAAAATTTCAAAATTATATAATGAAATTGGCTATATTTTAATGTAATTACACTTCAGGGCCTCCAGCCATTTTGGACCAAAGCAGCTGATCTTTTCTCAGCTGCAGGCTGGTTTCCACTTAAGTGGAAGACTCCCTAGGAATCTTTTTACTGTATATGTTAGCCAAGGAGTTGTGGGGAAAACATTTAGATTAGGGAGCATATAATTGTATCCCATCATCATTACTGAGCTGATGGATGGGAATGAGGAAACAGACTAAGAAGTAAAAACAGTTCTTAACTTTAAGTAGAGCCTAACTGTAACATATGGCTCCAAGAGTTCATTCTTCATTTTATAAAAGTATCAAAATTAAAATTGGCTGGTAAACAAAAGAGTTCATTACACTCTTGTTGAAATTAATACAGTGTTTTGTCTTCCGGAAAGCTTGGCATTGCTTTCCAAAAACATGAAGCTGTACCAGATTCTGGAAAAATACATTTCTGGCTTACTGTGCATTAGTTGAAAGCTGTATACCTTTATAAAAGCAAGGTTTTACAGAATAGCAAAGGGCATACTGAACTGTTGTGCACCTGAGGAGTAAAATGTAAAGACCCAAATGCCGTTTGTTCTAGAAGTTATTTGTTAAATAAACTGGCAGAAATCAGGCTAGTTGATATGCCTCTAATACCTTTTAAAGGTTATTCTACTGATTATTCTAGCTATTCTTTTCT